TGTTTCCTTACCTCCACAATGGCTCAGGACAGAAAATGGCGATATTGTTTACGCCTCCCTTTCCCTCACAAACTTAAGCCCAGTTGATGAGATATACTATTGGCTCCAGCTACAGACTTTATACAGATCAGTCCACTTCTTATGGCCTTTTCCACATGGCCCTCAAATGATGTTATAAATATCCAAATGGCCCTTGGCAGAAAAAAGGTTCCCCACCCCTGGATAGGAGAGAGGGCCTCTCACCCTCTATGAGAGGTAAATACACGTCCAGGTGAAGACTTTTGTAGGTTCTATGTGAGGGGGAGTAGAAGGTCTTCATTCCAGATTACATAACTTTCCTGGATGACACAAAAGGCAGGTGAACTTTTTGAAAAAACTTTGAGAGGACTTGAAGAAAGGAAAACAAACCAAGAAGCCCAAATTCAAAGTTAGGGACCTTTGTTTTATACTCACTACTCCTAGAGTGTCATGATTTCTCCAGCATTGTTCAGCTGCACATGTGCAAAATAATACAGGGTTAGGTCTGGTTGGGCAGTAATAGCAGAAGGACATGGGTCCATGGGAACTGAGAAGACAGCAATCCAGCTGAGTATGGCAGGAAGGGAATCAGGAGGGGCCAGAAACCCCGGAGAAAAGTTAGAGCAAATGGAGATCGATGTCTAATTAAGAGGAAGTGTTAAGGACATTGAAAGGGCCTAAAGGGGGTGAGTTTGTTGTTAGGGAACTGAACATTGTATTTAACAATTTCTGACGTAGGACAATTCCGAGTTCTCGGTCTTTGGGTTAGGGAAGGTGATGTGGAGGGAAGATAGCCAGATCTGAGATGGAGGGACTTTGAAACCAGAGGATATCCACTCATCTACTGATGGGCACTTTGGCTATTTCCAGATCTTAACTATTATAAACGGTGGTACATTTACACTATGGAATAGTATGCAGCAATAAAAAAGAAGGATCTCTTACCCTTTGAGACAGTATGGAGGGACCGGGAGAGTATTTTGCTAAGCAAAATAAGCCACTCAGAGAAAGACAAGTATCACATGATCTCACTCATATGTGGAATCTAATGAATAAAATAGATCCAGAGACATAGAAGCATGGAACAGACTGTCAAATCTCAGAGGGGCTGGATGGGTGGGAGGGAAGAGATCCAACAAAGAACTTGTATGCATAGATGAATAACCCATGGACACAGACAGTGGTGTGGTGAAGGCCTGGGGCAGGGGCCAGGTGCATGCCAGAAAGGGTCAATGGGGGAAAAGGGGGGCATATGTAATACTTTTAACAATAAAGATTAAATTTTTTAAATTTAAAATTTTAAAAAAAGAAGCAGTGGATAAATATACATGAACATGAAAATCAGTCAAGATAATACTAACACTTGAGTTGAAGAAAAAAATTAAGCCTGAGCAAAGCTTTCATGGCAGAAAGATAACAGGTTAATATTTATAATCCCTTGTTATCTGAGGTGAAGTTTAGGAAGCTGTACTCGTAGAGAAAAAGGGGGATGTGATATTCTTAGAAGAGAAAAGGGTTTCATTTATGACAAGGAGGAGCAGGACACATTTTGTTGAGAGGGTGAGAATGTGGAAGAGTGTTTAATACAGAAAAGGAGTTTTAGAAAGCAGAGGAAAAAAAAGTTGAGGAGTCTGAGTAAAACTCTTGTAGGGAATAAAGTGATGTAACTATTATTGGGCTATATTTCCTGGCCTTGCCCACACAACCCTTGTTTGTGTAGCACCTATTAACCTCTTACAGAAGTAGTGCTGTGTGGATTACAGCTTGGGAAACATTGGCAGAGCACTCAAGGATAGCAGGCTGTGAAGCATTCCGCATGGAGTTGGTGCCAAGTCACGGTAAACTCAACTCTCAAGGTATCTGGAGGGCACTGCTTGAACAAGGATGAGCCAGATTCAGGGCCACCCAACTTGTTGGGTTGTTTCATGGCCACTTGTCTTTTCAGCTCAGCCTCTGTGAAATCAGGGACAGTTGTCATTTCTTTGCATCTCCACAACATTTGGCTTATTATTGAGCATATTAATAAATGTTAAATAAATTTTTCTTTTTACTGAAGCTGGCAGTGAGCAAAATAAATTTACAACTTATTTATTTATTGCTTTTTTCCTGCCTTTGATGGAGATTTATTTTCCATTTAGGTTTTTAACCTAATGTTAAATGCCCAAATGTGTTGGAGCTCATTATCAATGTTTAACAACTTTGACTTATACCTTTTAACATCTCATGTACCTACATGTGTCCTATCTTTGATAATTTTTGTGAAGTGGGGCTAGAAAAAAGCTCAAAAAAGAATATTTTATATATTGTTGATTCGTGAAGTATTTATCCTAGTTATTATTATAAAGAAGAAATAGTTGGGCAGATTTGAGACGTAGCTAAAGCACTCATTTAAAAGTTGAGTTGTTTTTTCAAGTAAAATTTTAAAAATTAACTAGAAGTATAAAGTCTATTTTAATGTTTTGAGGAACCTCCACACTGTTTTCCATATTGGTCACACCAATCTGCATTCCCACCAACAGTGTGCTAGGGTTCCCTTTTCTCCATATTCTTGCCACTGTGCTAGGGTTCCCTTTTCTCCATATTCTTGCCACTGTGCTAGGGTTCCCTTTTCTCCATATTCTTGCCAACACTTGCTGTTTCTTCCTTTATGGACAACAGCCATTCTGGCAGGTGTGAGGTGATACCTCATTGTGGTTTTAATTTGCATTCCTCTTATGATTAGTGATGCGAACATCTTTTCATATATATATTGGCCATCCGGGAACATTTCTGCAGAAACTCGAAACACTAATTTGAGAGAATATATGCGTCCCTGTGTTTATTGCAGCGTTATTTGCAATAGCCCACCAGTAAATGAGTGGATAAAAAAGCTGTGGTACAAAAAAAATATATTTTTATTCCTTTTCACTTCCTTTGTTATATTTGTTTTAGGTCTAAAACAAATATAATCTGAGGATTTTATTCTTTTCATTCATAGATGCAAATGTTGTTTGAAAATAAGTCATCTATTAGAGTGAAAGTAATAAATGGTGGGATGAAGGAGAGACATATATATCTTCTCAGTACATAAAAAGTCATCAGCAATTATTTGTGGGACTCAAATATTTCATTTTATTTTATGATATTTAACTCTGTATGTTTTGACATAAAAACATTGATGCAAATGATGCCTGTTTAAGTAAATAATCAAATTTCAACCCTAATTACTAATTACTTCAATATATCTATGTTGGATAAGTCTGATATTGACAGTGTATGTATGTATAATTATTGTATACATATAATTTTGCATGAAAAAAAAGCTGTGGTACATTTACACCATGGAATACTATTCAGGCATAAGAAAGAAGGAACTCTTACCCTTTGTGACAGCATGGATGGATCCAAGGGTATTATGCTGAGTGAAATAAGCCAATCAGAGAAAGACAAATACCATATAGTTTTACTTATATGTGGAATCTAATGAACAAAATAAACAAAATAGAAACAGATTCATAGACACAGAGAACAGACTGACAGCTATCAGAAGGGGGGGATTGGGGGTCTGGGTGAAAGAAATGAAGGTATTAAGCAGTACAAATTGGTAGTTGCAGAATAGTCAATGAGACGTAGATTACAGCATAGGGAATATAGTCAATAATATAGAAGTAAATAGGTATTAGACCAGGTGGCTACCACTCTGTAAAGTACATTATTTTCTAACCACTTTGCTGTGTATATGAAATAAAGAATAATATTGAATATCAACTATAGTTGAAAAATTAAAAAATGTATAAAATATACATATTTGGCCAAAAAATATTATAACTGTCAGGAAGTTACCCTTGAAAATTCTTTAATTAGCTGTTACTTATTTACAGTATTAGCAAATGTGTGTTTGTGTATTGAAGGGAATACATGCAAGTATAAATGTATACTATATACAGAAACATGTAGAATTGAATATAGGAATACAAATGAAAATATAATTTATAATGTGTATTATTACACAAAAGGTAGAGAAAGACATGCATATGTTTGAATATGCAGATGTCAAATGCAAATTATTACATGATTCCACTGGGGCATACAAAGGCAAAGATATAAAATAGTTGAAAATTTTAATTTTTAAGAGTGGTACAGTTATGAAATGTACTTGGTTTTTTAAAATGTTAATGTTATATGTTATGCATTTATTCATATTCTTTGGTGAGGGCATTTGCCTTCAGCTAAATACAAGAAAAAAGTAAGAGAACTGATAAAAAAAACTCCAGTCTCCGGATTGTTTGATGTAATGTCATCCAACATTAGCAGAGTTTAATCTGTTGTCCTTAGGACAGAGTTCCAACATTTATTGATGCGCTCTACCTCCTTTGATAGCGTAGTTCACAGTGTAATATAAACCCAGACTGTTTGAATTGGGTTCTGCGAGTCTATTTTTCTCAGCGTAGAGATGTGGATAGAAAGGCTCAGAAATATACTGTCATAAAAGTACCTACACAGCCTTCCTCTCCTGAAGAAGCCACAGTGTCTGAGAGCCTGGGAAGTCACATGCATTAGGAATCTATTTCCACTATTGAGACTTACCTTGATCTGCAGGCCTTCGCTCAGGTTTGGTTTATTTAGAGAATTGTGTTTGGTAAACTTCTGTGTAGAAAGGAAACCTTCTCATGCCACTGGACCCAGAAATCAGGTGAGTATGCTCTTGTTTTTATTTCACTCGCTCCCTTGTAGTTTCAGTCAAAACATTTGCTTATAAACTGCCCTCCCATCAGGCCAAGAAGAAAAGCAGTTTCTACCTAAACTAACCTTCCCATGTATACAGGAGAGAGAGAAAAAAAGAAAGACTTTTCAAGGGTAGTATAGCAAAAACACCATATTACAAAGGTTTTGGTACAATTTTATTTCTCCTTTGAAGAAGCATGTCTGATTTGAGTACCCATCCCCTATGGAATGTACTTCACACTTCTAATTATTTCTAATTATTTTTTTTAATTATTTAGACTCCAAGGAGACAACTTGGCAGAAAGAACAGAGGAGACGACACAAATACTTCCTTCTCCAGATGAAATAATCCTGGATTCTTTGAGTAAGTTTTCAATCCCACAATACCTACATAGCTGCCTGTCATATGTGTACCCCTCCTTCAGGATGGGTATCGGGAGGTTAAGGGCAAAAGAATATGGATTCTGAGGAGCAGGCTCTTAATGTCTGTGCCTGTTTTGGGTACAAACAGGTCAACCATATGTTGGCTGTTGCCAAAATTTGTCACTAATGCCAGCTTGTTTGGGGTACTTTACATTGCTCACTCCCATTCTCACATCGTGGACCCCTTTATTCTTCCCTGCCAGAAGTGTCAATGTTATATTGATTTTGTTCCCTCTCTCATCCTTATATTGAATTGTTCTCAAATCATGTCAGTGTGCCTTCAGAATTGCCTTTCCCAGGCAGCGTCCTCTTCATTTTCCCTGATGCTGCCTGGTCTGTGCGTTTGTCCTTTCTTTGTCTAATTTAACAGCCATGTTTGTACTGTCTCAAATAGTCTTTGTACTATCTCACCCCTCTTTAGCTCATTATCTTTTTTTTTTTACAAAGAAAGCTGCTTATATCACCCCTCTTTTTTATATTACAAAATTCAAACTCCTTAGCTTAGCATATGAAGTTCATGGCAGGGCACTTCAAAATGGTTGCTGAATAATTATGCACGTGTAATGTCACTACGATGGCATTAAAGGTACATCACTGCTTCACCGTTCCGTATTCTAGTAGGAAGCAGCTGGACATCCAGCTGGGATAATTAAAAGAGAAACAATAGAAACATTTTTTTTTTTTTTTACATCTGGATAGAGGACATCTTAAACAAGATGGAAAAAATCTTAACTATGAAATAGAAAAATCAACTATAGAAAGTTAGAAACTGTTCATCAAAGAATGCCATAAAAAGTGAATAGCTATTCCACAAAGTAAGAAAATATATTTGAAATATATTTGTAACTGATCAAATATTAATATTCAGATTACGTACATAAAGAACATCTACAATTTTTTTTTTGTTCAATCCCTCCATCCCCCGAACATCTATAATTTAATAAAAATCAAAAACAATAGAAAAATAAGCAACAGGTATAGGTATGAATTGACATTTCATGGAAGAGGAGAAACACAATTGGCCAGTGAACATTTGAAAGATGCTTAATGTTCTGGTAACCAAGGGAAAGTAAATTAAGACCACAAAGAGGTGCTGTGTTATAACCAATTGTTTGCCATTAATTAAGAAATTTGGCAAAACCAAGTGCTGGTGAAGACATAGATGAAAGAAAAGTCATACACTACAGGTGGGCATAAACAATTTTGGAAACTTTTCCATTATCTTAAAATCTTGAACATTTATATAATCTAAAACCCAGGCACTCCACTTCTAAGAAAATATCTTAGCGGAACAAGTCTTGTACCATGAAATGTGAACAACCCTTCTTAGTATTGCTCCTGAAGAGGAAAATGGGTAGACATTGTGGAATTGTTATATTGTAGGAAACTGAATGCATTTCAACTACACATAAGATGGATGAAACTAGTGGAATGCTAATAAATGTTACCAACTGTTTCTTTGAAAAGAGAAAGCCCTGATTTGTAGAAATTGGTGGTTTCCATAATGTGCTCCTGCTGAAGTTGAATTCAAGTAACCAATCTGAAATGGCAGCGAGGACTCCCAACTGGTAAGAGCAGGTTATAGCTCACAGCTGAATAAATCTTAAAAGCATAGTATTGATTGAGAAAAAAAAGCAAGTCATAGAATTAAATTCACATAAAAGCTCAAAACTAGCAAATCTAAGTAGTGTGTTCTTAAGAAGACATACATAAGTGATAAAACTGTATTTAAAGAAGGGAATGAAAAACTCAAAATGATGGTTATTGTCAGAGGGTAGAGGAAACAGGGAGGTGGGATAAGAAAGTTGTGCAAAGGTAAATGAAGATTATTGAAAAGTCCTAATTCTTAAATTAGGTGGTGTCTTGGGTGTTTATTTCATCGTGTTTTGTAATATAAATACACTACATATTATGCATAAATATATTTTGAATATGCTTTTTATATGTCAAGTATTACCCAATAAACATTTAAAAATAAAGTGTGATGGGAACATACACCAATGCCAGTGTAGCACAATATAATGAAATAATGATAGTTTACATGCACTCAAATCTCTTATAGTACTAGTGACATGAAACACTTGAGACTTTTAACACTGCCAGCAGAAGTTGGGCAGTATGTTGGCCATTTGTTGGCCATTTGTTGACATAAGACAGATATTACTTAACTACTGGCCCATTATTTTTTAAAATTCTCTCAAAACCCCCCCAATCCACCAATCTACAAATCTGTATCTTCAGCAATCATATTCATAATAACTGAGAATTATAGAAACTCAATTTTGGGGGAAATTTAAACAATACACCAGTAATATGTTGATTATATTTACTTGTGTCCACTGAGGGACAATGTATTTATTACGTTTAAGGTCCTTTCTTAAACTTCTGCATTCTTGACATTCAAGTATCTGTAGATTTAATGAACAAATCTGAAAACATGAGTTTCTGATTCAATATATTCTTTTCCACTTATGTTAGAAAATAACCAAATTCAATAATTCAATATTATTGGTATTATTCGAAAGTGCTAATGTGATTTTTATTTCAGCTTTGTATCCACACTGAATTTGGCTCAAAAAATATTTCTATGAATGGGTATAATTTTGTGCATAAAAGCCTATTGTAACACACAGCAAAAGTAAAAATAATGGCAGGAAAAAGGTGAATAAAGCTAAAGTCTAGAGTTTTCTAATTTCTAGCAGCATGCCCAATTACAACAGAGGTAGTTTGTAGTTCAAGTACTGCCAGAGACTTTGAATTTGACAAAATCACTTTATCTTTCTATGTTCCAGTTGCTTCTTCTCTAAAATGAAGTGATAAGATAAGCTCTAATATTTGATCAATTTAGAGAATCATTTTCCCCTCAGTGTATTTTGAAAATCATATAGACTTATAAAACAGTAAGTACATAGGACAAAGTAGTTCGCACATATGCACACACCAATTATTGTTAATCAGCAGTGTACTAAAATACTTTAAAAAATGGAGCTCCAAGCATGAAACTAAGATTTTTTTTTTTTTTTTAGGATATATATTGTCCCTACTAGAATGTAAATTCAAAAATATTCTGGCAGGACCTCACAGTTGTCTCACATTACATTGAATGGAATTCATTATGTTTTTAAATGTTTTTTATTGATTTTTTTTAAGAGAGAGAAACCTCATCTATAAACCTCATCTATAAAGGAGAGAAACCTCACTTGCTTCCTATACGCCCTATTGGGGGTTGAGTTGCAACCTAGGCATGTACCCTGACTGGGAATCAAACCCATGACCTCTTAGTTCCTTGGTCAACGCTCAACCACTGAGTCACACTGGGTGGGCAAATTCATCATATTTTTTATCCCACTAGATATTGTACCAATAAACAGGAAGAACTGAACCCAGACAAGAACAGAACAGAACTCACTCCTCATAAAAAATTCTTTTGTTATGAAGCACCTACTAGAATGTCTCTAGTGACTTATAGTATTTGTTGAATAAATGAATATACAAACACACAGAAATAGTTGAATGAATTGATTAATAAATACATACATTAAAAAATCAATCAGAATGACAATACCTCTTTAAAACCATGAATTAATGACTGAGAACTTGAAAACTTAGTTATAATATAATATTTCTAACCTTAAAAATATCAGCAAATCCACTAGAGGGTTGGTTTTCTCCTACATATGAAATAATTTGCTTAGTAATGCAGGATAGAACATTTTAATATTATTAAGTTAATATTCTACTCAAGAGTTTCAACACAAATAAAACAGGAAAAATAGAGTAAGTAATAAAATTACACTAGTATTTACTCACAGTTCAGTAGATTATAATTCAGTTTTAGAGGACTTAAACTTATGCTAATTTACACATCCTCGTGTAAAAAGTCTATACATTGTCACTCTTACCAATTGGGTTTTAGTAAATAGGGATTCAAGTATTCTTTGTTAGTGCATTAATATTTTTGAACTTGGTGTAATTTTCATCATCTGTATTGATTTTGTCAACAAAAATTTCCTTCTTTTTAATGTCTGTTTGGAAGGGTGGTAGGTAAAAATTTTAAATTTGCTTACAACTTGAGACTATAGCGGTTATTGAATGTAAATTCTGATTCAGAAGCTACGGTATAATTACGGCTTTATGCTAAGCTTTCCATAGTCTCCTGGAGTGGCCGTAAGGGCTTGAGAGATTTAATGCTCTCATTTTCTTCCCAGAGCACACATTTTATTAACAGAAAAATCTGTCTCCATATTTACATGAATCTGAGGGAAAATTTTCAAGGATTCATATGACTCTCAAATATTAATAATTATAAGAAATCAATTTTAGAAGTCTCCAATCGTTTAAAATGGCTTCCTCTTTACTGATTTTTTTTATTTGAATAGAAGGTATTAAAGTACGGACTATTTCTAGATTCTCTATATATCTGTCCTTATTGTAGAATTTTTTATAACCCGTATAAATCCTTGTCATCATAATTAATTTAACTCAGCAGACATATGGGAAGGGTTGCCATAATTTTATTCACATATTTGAAAGTCACTACTCATTCACTCCTCAATCTATTCAAGATAAGAAATCACAACTTCTTGCTTAATACATTAAAATGGAAAACTTTCCATCATTTAAAAATATGCACTCTTCTCCAAACTTTTCCGAATTTCCTATCCCATTTAAGAGAAAGAACACAAAATGGTAATTACATTGTGTGGCCAGTAAAGAAAAAAAGAAGACAGTTGGTGGGTAAAACAAATAAATATAAAATTGCAAACCAGAAAAAGAACATTAAAATCCCAACAATTAGCTGAATGAAATGCTAAAAGAAAGTTTGCCCTATCCAAGATAACAGCAGCTCTTGCACATTCCATTTCTAACTTCATTGTGTCCTACATTCGAAATTCATAACATTTTTCATAGGTTGTCTTTAAGCTGAATAAATATCTTACACTCTAACTCACAAACACTGTAATTTTTTCAGCAACCAGTTCAGTCACTTTAATATCCTTCTTGTAATAGGCTCGTATATCAAATTTAAGCAATATGTGACTGTAACTTATTCATTCTTTTGGTAAAAATAGATTCTTTACCTGGGACTGAAGAAGCACTAATGGAGGAGGGTGGAGAATTTGAAATAGCATCTAAATTAACAGGACCTGTAAGTATATTCACTTATTGTTTTAATCTCTAAAACTAATTTATCTTATTGATAGGAAAATCTAATAGAAGTAGGAAGGAATAGGAAACTATAACTTTAAAGAATATTTCAAGTGTACACCCACTGTGTCCCGCAGAGCCATGCAGAGTGCTCATATCAGTAGGGGGCAGCTTGATTACCAGTATACAGCAAGGCTGCGATTAAGGAAGAAGATTCAAATGAGGTGGGAGAAAATAAATTCTGGTATTAATACCTTTTTGTGCACATGAGTATTCTTTAAGATATGAGTTACCATCTTAAACTTCAATAAGTTTATACCTATCTTAATAGAAAAATAAATGTTTTGCATATCTTGAAAGTTCACATATAAGCATGCTTTTATTGGTTATGAAGTCCTTGTGATATTTTTGTTAAACTGTCTCTTTTCAATAGAGTATATTGGGAGGAAACCAATAGGTTTAAGATTTTCAATGCAATATAATGTTGAGAGAATAAATACAGGAAAACTGAAATCTACATGTAAATTCTAAACGTAAAGTTTATAAAAGATTCTGAGTTATTTTCAAAATGACTATGCAGTCTTGTGCTATCCTAAACTTAATATTTAGACTGGGTTTACATGCTACAGTATTCTCTGTATTTGTTTGCTGGGGCTTCCATAAGAAAGCACCACAGACTGGGTGGCTTAAATAGCAGAATTTTATTGTCTCACAATTCTGAAGGCAGATAGATCCGAGTGCTAGCAGATTTGGTTTCTCCTGAGGCCTCTCGGCCTGCAGATGGTCATCTTCTCCCTGTATCTTCACATCATCATCCCTCTGTCCTTGTCTATGTCCTGATCTCCTCTTCTCTTAATAACACTAGTCATATTGGATTAAGACCTATCCCAATGATCTCAATTAACTTAATTACCTCTTTAAAACCTTATCTCCAACTACAGTCAGATTCTGAAGAACTGGAGGTTAGGATGTCAGCATATAAATTTGAGGGGACATAATTTAGACCATAACACTCTCTGATGAGGTTACGGTATTTGAAACATTACTTGGCTCACAAGATTTGATTGAGGGCACCACATTTTCCAATGGATTTCATAATAAAAATAATTTTTTAATTACTGATGAAATTAATATATCTTTGAAGTTCCCCAGAATCCTATTTAAAACTTCAAATTTGTTTTCTTTGTTATTCTATATAGCAGTTGTCATCTTCTAATATACTATGTATTATATTTGTTTTGCTTATGGTTCATCTTCTTCACAAAATATAAGGTCTATGTGGGCAAAAATTATTTTGCATTTTTTTCACTTTTGTATCCCTAGCAAAGTGCCTACACATAGTAGATACACAATACATATATATTGAATAAATGAAATTTTTATCAATAATTTCTTGTCATGAGATGAACAATATATGTAGAGCCTTAGAAATCGAAAGAACCGTGGCGGCCATCTGGTTCAGCCTTTCCTCTCCCTTATCTCAGTATTCTTACTTTCATGGAAGGTAAGGATATCCATCCTATCTAATAAAAGAGAAATATGGTAATTGGCGTATAACCGCTACCCTTCCCATTTGCCAATCAGCGAGATACGCAAATTAACTGCCAGCCAAGATGGCAGCCGGCAGCCAGGCAGCTTAAAGCGAACATGAATGAGGCTTGCTTGCTTCAGTGACGGCGGACTCCAACGTTCCCCGCCTGCCTTGCCGGCCTCTGAGCGGGCAGTTTGAAACATAGTTACAAATATAGAAGCTAAAAAACCCCCAGAAACCTGCTTTCAGCAAGCCGGGATCTCAGAGCTGGAGTTGATACAGAGTTTCGATTGTAGAACACAAACAAGTCTGGGCCCGAGGGTTTCCGCTTTCCCAGCAGCAGAGGCCACAGAGCTGGAGCCAGAGCTAAAGCTGGCCCAGAATAAAAAAAAAGAAAGAAAAAAAGGAGTGGTTGGGAGCTTCCGTCACCCGACAGCCTGAAAACAGCCCTCAGCCCCTCACCCAGACTGGCCAGGAACCCCAGTGGGGACCCCCACCCTGATCCAGGACACCCTTTAGGGCAAACCAGCCAGCCCCCACCCGTGCACCAGGCCTCTATGCTATATAGTAAAAGGGTAATATGCCTCCCAGCACTGGGATCAGCGGAGCCGCGAGGCCTCCCGGCACTGGGATCAGCATGACAGGGGGCAGCGCCCAAACCCCCTGATCGGCCCTGCTCTGTGTGTGACAGGGTGCGGCACCTCAAACCGCCCCCCCACCCCCACGGGCCCTGCTCTGTGTGTGACAGGGTAGAGCCATAACCTCCCCATCAGCCCTGCCCTGAGTGTGACAGTGGCGGCGCCCCAAACCCCTGATCGGCCCTGCTCTGTGGGTGATAGAGGGCGGCGCCCCAACCCCCTCATCCGCCCTGCTCTGTGTGTGACAAGGGGCAGTGCCCCAACTCCCCTATCAGCCCTACTCTGTGAGTGGCAGGGGGGAGCTCCCCAACCCCCTGATGGGCCCTGCTCTGTGCGTGACAGGGGGCAGCGCCCCAACCCCCTGATTGGCCCTGCTCTGTGCGTGACAGGGGGTGGCGCCGCAACCTCCCCATCGACCCTGTCTTGAGTGTGACAGGAGGCAGTGCCCCAACCCCCCAATTGGCCCTACCCTGAGCGTGACTGAGGGTGGCATCGCAACCTCCCAATCCGCCCTGCTCTGTGCATGACAGGGCGCGGCGCCCCAACTCCCCAATCGGCCCTGCTCTGAGCCCGACCAGGGGCTGCACCTAGGGATTAGGCCTGCCCTCTGCCACCCGGGAGCAGGCCTAAGCCAGCAGGGCGTTATCTCCCGAGGGGTCCCAGACTGCGAGAGGGCACAGGCCGGTCTAAGGGACCCCCCCTTCCCCCCGAGTGCACAAATTTTTATGCACTGGGCCTCTAGTTTTATATAAAATGAAACAAAGTCAGAGAACCTTAGTAACAGGACTAAGCTCCCAAAGCTAAAAGAGTGAAAAGGTCAGGAGTTGAGTGCTAGTCAATTTCCCTTCTACTGCATATCCCTGTTATTCAGGTGCTTTCCTGTTTCTTTCAGGAGTTTATTCCTGTTTGTTGGACATTTTCATATATTCCTCACAACCACTTGTAACCATTGGTTTCAGTTCTATTCCTTGGGCAATAGCCTGAGTCCAATCCTTCCTTTTAACTAATCTCCACTTATTGGAGACAGTTAGGATGTCCTATTTGAGACTTTTTCAGCCAAAACACAATCTGTTCCTTCAACCAGTTCTTATATTGTGTAGTTTGCAAAGATTTCAGCACTTTTGATTCTTTCCCTGGACATACTCTTGTTTGCCAAATCCCTTGTAATGTGGGGGTTATGCCACAACCAAACCCAGGGTTCCAATAATGTTCCCACATCAGAGAGTATAATGGGATACATACTTGATGCAAATATTATCTTTGGAGTATGACCTGGGATTGTAATAACGTTTTTTAAAGGAACTTTCTGACATTTATAAACTTCAGTATGTCTCCATAATCTCATGATGATAATAATGAATAATCTGTCATTCATCACTTTTGGAAAAGATTTGTTTTTTTATCTGTGAATTCTACCAAAGCCCATATACCAATCTGCCACATATCTAAAAGGATACAGCTAGATTCTCTTTCGAATCACTTTCTAAAATTCAGGTATATCTGTTAATAGTATTTGACTTACTTAATAATACCTAACAATCCAAAAGGGGGAAAAAGAAAAGTTAGCTTTTTTGGTCAAAATTCTCTTGAGTTATTACAAACTGGCTCTTAAAAGATTTTCTGCTTTCTTTTTATAGTGTTCACACAGTGCTCTCCTATGCAGACATTTGTTCTAAGTCAGTGTTACTTGTTTTCATTTATCAATGATTAGACTTTGAATTCTTGAAAATTTCTATAATTCTATTTAGTCAAATTAACACTAATTCTTTTTGGAAATATGTGGAATATAAACAATATCTGTATAAATTAATATCAGGATCCTGAACATAATTTTTAGGTGGTAGCTGCTTTTATTGTAAAGAAAACATGGATTTTTAAAAATTTATGTCAGATTGATGATATTTTAGATGCAAATTCCCCAAAACATACTTCTATAATATTTCTGAGGACTGTATTTTTGGTAAATCAAGAAGAAAATTGTGGCTTTGTGTAGATATGAATGGAGAATTGAAACAAAACAGAACTTTTTTCTTTATTATCATAAGAAATGCGATATATTGCCCTGACCGGTTTGGCTCAGTGGAATAGAGCGTCTGCCTGCGGACGGAAGGATCCCAGGTTCGATTCTGGTCAAGGACATGTACCTTGGCTGCAGGCACATTCCCGGTAGGGGGTGTGCAGGAGGCAGCTGATTGATGTTTCTCTCTCATCGATGTTTCTAACTATCTATCCCTACTCCCTTCCTCTCTGTAAAAAGTAAATAAAATATATTTTAAAAAAAGGAATGCGATATATTTTATAGCAATTTTTGAGTCATATACTGCAAAATGTAAAAATGCCACAAATGTTAAAAAACATTTAGAGTAATTTCAACACGTGCTGTCTCTATTTGCTAACTTTCCATGTTGGGTATTGGATATTAATAAGTGGGTAGCAGGATTTTGGAAACTTTTTCCCAGTGGCTTCACCTGTGTTTAAAATACTTCATGAATATTTTGTGAATATTTGAGTGAAGTAAAGGCAACATTTAGTTTAGATTTTTATCGTTTCCCTAATAAGCAAGTCATCCTTTTGGAATTTCCCTCTTCCCTTCCTCCTCCTGTGTTCTGGAATGCCTCTTAACATATTCACAGCTGTGACGATTAAAGCTGAATTTGCTAGCTAAATCTATTTGTTAAAAATGAACCAACAAAAGGAAAACCTTAGGAAGAAAATACCAAGCAGCAGATATTGATTATAACCTTTTAATTCATAAATGTGGTACATATTTTTCTGGATCAGTGAGCCAAAAAGACTTACAGCAATGATATTTTAATTTCACAGTTCTTATGG